GGTGAGAATGTAATTCAGAAAATCAGTTTAGTAAAACCAGTTTAGTAAAACCTTTTGTACCCGTTTTCATTTATAAAATTTATTTTTTTGTATCGTCTTTGTTATGGGTTAGAATGTGATATGCATGCTGTCAGTTCGAAGCACACCCACACACTGTGCAACTCGACGAGCAACGACGAAGGTGAGACGCGAAGACCACCGCGGAGTAGGCCAAGAAGACAAAGGCCACAGCGAGAGCTCCTAAAATAAATTTTCTCAACATTTTTGTAATAATACTTAATACATAATATACGAAGTCAGTACTTTACAAATACTCATACGGGTATTGAAACAACATAACTAAGTTGCAAATGTAATAGTTTTCAGTTACGTAGGTAGTACAGACATAATTCTCCCACAAAAATCATTATGGACACCATGAACTGAACACACATTACATACATCCTGGACACTCTTAACTGAACACACAATACATAAACATAACATTAGATAGACAAACACCTAATTCATGACCTAATATTGCATATTAATAGCCGTAACATTTGACAGACACAATACATAAACATAAACAAAACATAACATAACAGTTATACTTACTCTAACACAGACATTACATATTAATGCAAGTTGTTATATTGCCGAAGTGTAGACATTAACACCTAATTCGCGCTTAAATCGGCAGGTGGCTAGAGTCTGAACAATCCGAAAGCTCAGCGTCAGAGACAAGTTCAGGATCCTCCATGATAGCCTTGATAGCCGCAAACATTTGGTTCTGTTTTGTTCTTCTGGGCATCCTTCTTAAGTATGAGTAGCTGCATATCGCGGGCCAATCTACGACCCATTTGAGAAATCTCACTTGTAGTGTTTGACATAGTCGATCAACATTATCAGGATCTTCCTTTTGGATCTCAACAGAACGTGCTTTTGGCACCTTCAATCGTCTTTCCCGACATAATCTTTCGTTTTGCACTCGCTCTATAAATAGTGCGGGGCCACTTAAGAAGTCTAGCCTTTGCATAACCATATCCTGTTTGATTTTCTGATGGATCCTCCACAAATCACATGGATCTCGATAGTACTTGGGCATGACAAAATGTCGCTTCCCAAACCTATCATGATAAGCACAAGAGGCATCCAAGAAAGAAATGGTGTTTCATCTTCAGCATCGCCACTCCCTTCCCCCTCCTCGTCGTGAACTTTCACCCCTTTGCAAGTTCCTACCACCTCTGGACCCCACTCCCTCCTATGACCATGTAGCCATGCTAATTTTTTAAAACAAATGAATGATAATTTTGTTAGGGCGAATGAGTTGTTAAGTTGTGTCTTCACCTTTACTCGTTTATTCATAGTTGATTATGAACGGATAAATGAGAATCCCACATATATGCATGCTGACTGTAAGGTAAATGCATGCTGACTGTAAGGTAAATCAGTAGATTCACTGTTGCATGTGACTTTCTGAATTGAGAATCCCACATATATCAATACGAGATGAGTTGTCACTGTAACAAAAAGTCGAGCAAAAAATGGAGAAAACCAAAGCATGTGCACCAAGTCACATGACTTCACAATCCATCTGCATATAC